AATCTGGCTAGTGGTCTGTCTATTTTGTTGACCTTTTCAAAAAACCAACTTTTGGATTTATTGATTTTTTGAAGGGTTTTTCGTGTCTCTATCTCCTTCAGTTCTGCTCTGATCTTAGTTATTTCTTGTCTTCTGCTGGGTTTTGAGTTTTTTTGATCTCACTCCTTTAGCTCTTTGTATTTTGACGATAGGGTGTCAATTTGGGATTTCTACACCCTTCTCATATGGGCTATATTGCTATATACTTTCCTCTAGAGACTGCTTTAAATGTGTCCCAGAGATTCTGGCATGTTGTGTCTTCATTCTCGTTGGTTTCGAAGAACTTCTTTATTTCTGCCTTCATTTCGTTGTTTATCCAGTCAACATTCAAGAGCCAGTTGTTCAGTTTCCATGAAGCTGTGCGGTTCTGGGTTGGTTTCTGAATTCTGAGTTCTAACTTGATTGCACTATGTCTGAGAGACTGTTTGTTATGATTTCTGTTGTTTTGCATTTGCTGAGGAGTGCTTTACTTCCAATTGTGTGGTCAATTTTAGAGTAGGTGTGATGTGGTGCTGAGAAGAATGTATATTCTGTGGATTTGGGGTGGAGAGTTCTGTAAATGTCTATCAGGTTTGCTTGTTCCAGGTCTGAGTTCAAGCCCTGGATATCCTTGTTAATTTTCTGTCTGGTTGATCTGTCTAATATTGACAGTGGAGTGTTAAAGTCTCCCATTATTATTATGTGGGAGTCTAAGTCTCTTTGTAAGTCATTAAGAACTTGCCTTATATATCTGGGTGCTCCTGTATTGGGTCCATATGTATTTAGGATCATTAGCTCTTCTTGTTGTATTGATCCTTTTACCATTATGTAATGACCTTCTTTGTCTCTTTTCATTTTTGTTGCTTTAACGTCTATTTTATCAGAGATGAGAATTGCAACGCCTGCTTTTTTTTTTTTTTTTTTTGCTCTCCATTTGCTTGGTAAATCTTCCTCCATCCCTTTATTTTGAGCCTTTGTGTATCCTTGCATGTGAGATGGGTTTCCTGGATACAGCACACTGATGGGTTTTGATTTGTTATCCAATTTGCCAGTCTGTGTCTTTTGATTGGTGCATTTAGCCCATTTACGTTTAGGGTTAATATTGTTATGTGTGAACTTGATACTGCCATTTTGATTCTAGCTGGCTGTTTTGCCCATTAGTTGATGAAGATTCTTCATTTTGTTGATGCTCTTTAGCATTTAGTGTGTTTCTGGAATGGCTGGTACTGGTTGTTCCTTTCTATGTGTAGTGCCTCTTTCAGGAGCTCTTATAAAGCAGGCCTGGTGGTGAAAAAATCTCTGAGTACTTGCTTATTCGCAAAGGATTTTATTTTTCCTTCACTTACAAAGCTCAGTTTGGCTGGATATGTAATTCTCGGTTGTAAGTTTTTTCTTTAAGGATGTTGAATATTGGCCCCCACTCTCTTCTTGCTTGTAGACTTTCTGCTGAGAGATCTGCTGTGAGTCTGATGGGCTTCCCTTTGTGGGTGACCCGACCTTTCCCTCTGGCTGCTCTTAGTATTTTCTCCTTCATTCCCACCCTGGTGAATCTGACAATTATGTGCCTTGGGGTTGGTCTTCTTGTGGAATATCTTTGTGGTGTTCTCTGTATTTCCTGGATTTGAGTGTTGGCCTGCCTTGCTAGGTTGGGGAAATTTTCCTGGATAATATCCTGAAGAGTATTTTCCAGCTTGAGTTCGTTCTCTTTGTCCCCTTCTGGTATACCTATCAAACGTAGGTTAGGTCTCTTCACATAGTCCCACATTACTTGGAGACTTTGTTCATTCCTTTTTGTGTTTTTTTCTCTAACCTTGGTTTCTCGTTTTATTTCATTGAGTTGATCTTCAGCTTCTGATATTCTTTCTTCTGCTTGGTCAATTTGGCTGTTGAAACTTGTGCATGCTTCACGAAGTTCTCGTGTTTGTTTTTCAGCTCCTTCGATTCATTCATATTCCTCTCTAAGTTGTCCATTCTTGTTATCATTTCCTCGAATCTTTTTCAAATCTTTTTTCAAGGTTCTTAGTTTCTTATCATTGATTTAGAACATGTTCTTTTAGCTCACAGAAGTTTCTCATTACCCACCTTCTCAAGTCTGATTCTGTCATTTTGTCACAGTCATTCTCCATCCAGCTTTGTTCCCTTGCTGGTGAGGAGTTTTGGTCCTTTGTAGGAGGTGAGGTGTTCTGGTTTCGGGTGTTTTCCTCCTTTTTGCACTGGTTTCTTCCCATCTTTGTGGATTTATCCACCTGTTTTCTGAGTAGTTGCTGACTTTTTGATTGGGTCTCTGAGTGGACACCCAGATTGTTGATGATGAGGTATTTCTGTTACCTGGTTTTCTTTCTACCAGCCTAGCCCCTCCGCTGTATGACTGCTGAGGTCCACTCCAGGCCCTGCTTGTCTGGGGTACACCTGTAGCAGCTGCAGAACAGTGAGAGATGTTACCACTTTCTTCTTCTGCTATCTTTGTCCCAGAATGATGCCCACCTAATGTCAGTCTGATCAGTCCTTTGTGAGGTGACTCTGGATATACTGGGGTCAGCGAGCTGCTTGAGGAGATGGTCTGTACTTTATAGGAGCTCAAGTGCTGAGCTGTGAGCTCCATTGTTCATTCAGGGGTGTTAGGCTGCTACATTTATGTCTGCTGCAGCAGAACTCTTAAAACCCCTTTTTTCCCTCAGATGCTGTGTCTCGGGGAGTTGGTGCTTTCTTTATGAGTGTCCATTGCACTATCCTGCCCAGCTAAGGGGCAGTCTAGTCACTATTTGCCTGCCAAAGCTCTGCCCTGCTGATGTGGGGTCAGCCCTGTTGCTGCAGGCTCTGCCCTGCAGCCACAGGCTCCGCCACAGGCTCTGCCCTGCAGCGGAGTCTCTCTGTTATGGCGGGTGGCCTCAGCAATGGCAGGCTGCATCAGCAATGGGAGTGTACCTCAGTAGAGGCGATTACGTCGGTAATGGTGGACGCCCCTCCCCCACCGAGCTGCACCGTCCTGGGTTCAGCTGTGCCCACAGTGAAACTCTCCACCCAGAGCGTTTCGAATTTCTATTTTGTTTGTCCCTATGGGGGTGAAACCCACCGAGCCTGCTCGCCTGGCTCCCTGCCTCAGAGCACCTTTTTTTTTTTTTAAGTTGAACGGATGGCTCTCTCCCAGGTGTTTCGGTCACCCGCTGTTAGGGCACCAGTATATGTGTGATTTCCCATGCAGTGAGCCACTGTGCTGGCTCAAACGCCACTTCCCAGGAATCTCCTGGTGTGGCTCACTGTCCAAGTCCCATTTAATCAGATGGATATGCTAATATGCCCTCCCAAATCTCAGATTGCCGGTTTAGCAGGGAACCCAGGAGAGTGTGTTTTGTGTGGATTGTTGCGGAGTGCCGCTGCACTGCAGCGCCAGCCGAAACGGCTGCAACAGCCGGAACGGCTGCACTTGCGTCCCGTGTCTTTCCTACACCTGGGAATTTCCCTGTTCTGTGGGCAACAAAGATCCGTCTGGAAATGTGGCTTTGACTCACCCTCTGAGCGTTCACTGAGAGCTGCAATCCTGAGTTGTTCTTACCGTGCCATCTTGAATCCAAAACAATGGTCTCAGTCTCTTAACCTCATGATCCACCCAGCTCGGCCTCCAAAGTACTGGGATTATAGGCATGAGCCACTGTGCCTGGCCAAAAAAAAATTTTCAAATATTTCCCCCAGTCTTGACTTTGGAACCTGAACAAAGAAAAGTTTCACTGGAAGAACAGACACTACCCACTTAATTCAGGAAAGGTCTTCACTTGCCTTCAATCTCTCTTGTACAGAGTCCAGAGGAGAGATCAGATGAGCTCACTGATCCCTGACACATTAACCTTACTGACAGGCAAACATGGACCAATGGCTGTAAAATTTCCTATCCACCAAGTAAGTGACATCTCCTGGCTCTGGGAATGAGCCAGATCAATGTGGAGAGTTGACAGTGTTTCTACTCAACACTTGGGAGAAGACAGAAGGTCTTGTCAGTGGGAAGACAGAAATGCAATTGGGAATGGGGGTTAGTACGTGTTTCTCATTACTGACTTTTTTCATTCATCTAGTATATGCTGAGTGTTTCCCCTAGAATAATTGACCTTTAGAAAGATGATTCCCCTCACAATTGCGTTGAATATTTTTATTTTTGTGCTGAAAAACTGATGTTGATTTGTGTTTCATATAGTGTGCATTGAAAAAATGGGGGGAATCTCTGTATGAAAGGAAAACAAAGTTTTTCTTTCCTCCTCAATATTTCCAGAGACATCTGCTCAGATTATCTGAGTTTTCCCATTCATGGGATGAGTCTCCTCAATAAACTCCAGAATTCCGTGTATGATCATTTAGGCATAGATCAGAGTGACAGTTGGAAGCATGGTATAAAAATACACATTTGTCAAATAAAAATGTAAACAAATGTTAAAAATGGAAAACAGATGAGTAAGGCAGGGACTAGCTTGTAGTTACATCAACAGGGACAAACACTGCAGTTCAGTCAAATATTTGCCATCTTTGCAGTAGAAGATTTTGACATGTAAATTCTAATTTTTTTTCTTTATAAGTAACTGTGATGCTTAATGACATGGCAGCTTTTAGTATCTTAGGCCATTTATTGAAGGGCTATTAAGTCATTTCAAGGCATGCAAGCCTTCTTCTTAGTAAAGCAGTGACATACATGCTTTCTCCTGATTTCTCCAACTATGTAAAACTTCATTAAAGCTTTTCCTGAACAATATAAAGGAAGTTCCTTCAGTAACATAAATCTTCCCAATCTTTTGCCCCAGGAGAGAATGTGAATTATAGAAAAATAGTGGGTGTAACTAAAGTGGGAAATTATTTGGGTAACGAGAATATATTTTTTCTTTTAGTCAAGGATGGAAATCATGAAAAAAAGATTGGAATACAGAAATGTGATACTAATATATATGGTAAGTTCTTGAGAAAAGAGGCTGATAAAACAAAATTTTAAAACACAGAAACAATAATATTAGATTTAGAACGAAGTTTATTAAAAAATCTGTAAAAAAATACATTCTTGTTCAGAATATATAAAGAAATCTTACAAATCAACAAGAAAAAGGCAATCAGTTAAAACATGGACAAAAGATAATGACCAGGTATTTCATCTAAGAAATGACAACTGGCCAGTAACCACAAGAAGTAAGTCATGCTCAACATCAAAGGGAAACGCAAATCAAAACAACGAGGTACCACTTAACACCACTAGAATGCCTGTAATAAAAAAGATGAAAAAAAATACTGCAAAAGATGTGGAGAAATTGGAACCCTCAAACACTGCTCCTGGAAATGTAAAATTATACAGCTGTATTGAATCAACAGCCTGACAGTTTCTTGAGATTAAACATAGTTACCATTTGACTTAGATTCCCACCTGAGTGGTTACCCAAGAGAAACATGTCTACATACATGTCCATAGTGCATTATTCATAATAGTAAAAACCTGGAAACAATACAAATGTCCATCAACTGTTAAATAAAATGTGGTATTTCTCTGCAATAGAATATTAATCACAAATAAGAGGAAACAATCTACTGATACATGCTGTACAATACAGATGAGCCTTGAAAACATTATGGTAAGTGAAATAACCCAGACACAAAAAGCCACTATATCATGATTTTACTTATATACTATACCTGGCATGGGTAAATTCACAGAGACAGAAAGTATAATAGAGGTTACTAGGGATAAGGAGAGAGACTATGGGAAGATATTATTTAATGCATACAGAGTTTCTGTTAGGGATTATGAAAAGTTCTAGAAATTAATAATGTTGATTATTGTACGACATTGTAAATGTATTTAATGCTATTGAACTATGGAGCTAAAAATTGTTGAAATGTGAAATTTTATATTATATATATTTCACCAGAAGTTTAAAAAATAATTGACAATGCTTAGTCTTTTAAACAGAAGATTTAAACTAAAAAATTTCAAGAAAAAGCTACATTTAAAAATTACTTTGAATTAAAAATATGAACTTAACCTTCTCCCCCAAATCAATCTTATATTAACAATATTAAAAAATAAAAACCGTATGTATTAGATACAGAAAAAACATGAGAAAATTGAACATTTTTCATTAAAAAAATAATCTCAGTGGGGCCAGGTGCGGTGGTTCACACATGTAATCCCAGGACTTTGGGAGGTTGAGGCAGGCAAATCACCTGAGGTTGGGATATTGACACCATCCTGACCAACATGGAGAAACCCTGTCTCTACTAAAAAGATACAAAATTAGCTGGTGTGGTGGTGCTTGCCTCTAATCCCACCTATTCATGAGGCTGAGGCAGGAGAATCGCTTGAACCTGGGAGGCGGAGGTTGTGGTGAGCTGAGATTGGGCCACTACACTCCAGCCTGGGCAATGAGAGTGAAACTCCATCTCCAAGAAAAAAAAAAAAATCTCAGCAAACTGTGAATACAGGAGAATTTCCTGAATATGTCAAAAGGCTTTTTAAAAATACGTAATGCTAACATCTTACATAATGATGAAAGACTGAATGTTTTCCCCTAAGACCAAGAATAAGACTTGCATGTCAGCTCTTACCACTTCTATTCAACAATGTACTGGAAATTCGAGCCACTGTAATCACTTTTAAAAGGGAGTCAGGAGAAGGAAGAAAGGAGGGAAGGAAGCAAGGAAGAGTGGAAGAGAGGAAGGGAGGGAGGAAAATAAATGGCATCTAGACTGAAAAGAAATAAGTAAAATTGTCTTTATTCACAGACATAATCATCTGTGTAGAAAACCAGGTGAAATCCATTGCAACATTACTGACACCAGTGAGTGAGTTTTCCCATATTGCAGGACACATGATTGACATACAAAAATCAATTGTAATTCTATATGTTACAAATAAACTGTTAGGAATTTAAATTTTAAAAATAATACTATTTATAATAGCATTAAAATATAAAATTCTTGGGAATATATCTGACATACTATGCAAAATACCTGTACAACGATAACCAAAAAGTATTGAGGAGAAAAATCAAATAAGTTCTAAGAAAACACCTTATTCATAGGTTGAAAAACTCAACATTATTAAGATGTTCATTCTTTCCTATGACATAATGCAATCCCAGTCCAAATCCAAGCAGGTATTTTGTAGAAACTGACAACTGATTTTAAGACTTCCATGGCATGTAGATGACACATAAATACACAGTAACTCTGTGTAAAACAAAAGAATAAATTTAGAGAGCAAATACAATGCAGTTTGAAGAATTATTACAAAGCTACAACAATCATACAGTGTGATTTTGACACAAAGATAGATCTATGGAACAGAAAGTGTCCAAAAACCAGGAATACATCACACACACACACACACACACACACCCCACACAAACACACACACACTCTCTCTCTCTCTTAAAATGTCACTGGTCAAGTGACTGCTTATGAACAGTAATTGGTTGATACATTAATCTAGGATCTGTTGGCCTTAAATCACTACCATAACCTTGAGAAGTTGATGATGTCTTTGTTTTCTGAGAACAGTTTCAGTGTGCAAGCTGGTGGTTCCATAGAGATGGCAGAAGAAAGTGTAGAGCCAGAAAAAGAAAGGGATACCCACAGACTTCGTGAGATTTTGTTTTAAAGTTATAAAACATGATAAACTAATGAGGCATAAGTATACTTTTCATTATGAATGTTTATGTTTTCACATCTTTCAGTAATGTGTATAAGAAAAAGTATTGGGAGGGGACTCAAGATGGCGCTGTGAGAACAACCCAGGATTGGAGCCCGCGTTGAATCCGCAAACGGTGAGTCAGTGCTGCATTTCCAGACTGATCTTTGTTGCCCACAGAACGGGGAAACTCCCAAGTATAAAAAGACACGGGACGCCAGGCAGTAGGTCTGCCTGGCGAAGCCGGCAGCCGGGGCGGCGGCGGCCGGCCCTACCCAGCAATCCCCACAGGGCGCGCTTGTCCGGGTGCCTTGTTGAACCGGCAACCTGAGACTTGAGAGGGCTGGACTTGAGACTGAACGAGACTTGCACAGTAGCCCAGCCCAGGGGATTGCAGGGACAGATCGTTTGGGATACCCAGTGGGACGAACAAAACCGCGATTTCAAACTATCCCGGGCAGACAGTCCGAGACGCTCTGTGGGGGAGGGGCGTCCACCACTACGGAGGCAACCTGCCCCAACTGATATACACGCCCACTGCTGAGGCAGCCAGCCGTTGCCGAGGCAACCCGCCCCAACTGAGATACACGCCCACTGCTGACGCAGCCAGCCATTGCCGAGGCAACCCGTCCCTACTGAGGTACACGCCCACTGCTGACGCAGCCTGCCATTGCTGAGGCAACACGCTACAACGAAGAGACTCCGCCGCAGGGCGTGGCGGAGACCACAGCAGAGCCGGCAGGAACAGCGCGAATCACACAACAGCAGGGCGGAGCCTCGGCAGCCAAACAGTGGCTAGTCTGCCTTCTAGCTGGGCAGGACACCTGATCGGACATCCAAAAATAAAGCCCAAACCCCTCAACACAGAGCATTTGAGAAAAAAAAAAGGGTTGTTTGTTTAATGAGCTGTATTGCAGCAGAATCAAACATAGCAGCCTAACAGCCCTGAATGAACAACAGAGTGCACAGCTCAGCAATTAAACCCCTATAAAGTACAAACTGTCTCCTCAAGCAGCTCCCTGACCCCTCTATATCCAAAAGACTGTCATTAGGCAGGCATCATCCTGGGACAAAGAGAGCAGAAAAAGAAACTGGTAGCATCCCTCGCTGTGCCACGGCTACTAGAGGTGCACCCCAGACAAGCAGGGTCTGGAGCGGACCTCAACAGTCGTACAGCGAAGGGGCTAGACTGGTAGAAGGAAAACCAAGCAACAGAAATACTTCATCATCAACATTCTGGGTGTCCACTCAGAGACCCAAACGAAAAGTCAGCAACTACGCAGACGACCAGCGGACAAATCCACAAAGATGGGAAGAAACCAGCGCAAAAAGGAGGAAAACACCTGAAACCAGAACACCTCGCCTCCTAGAAAGGACCAAAACTCCTCACCAGCAAGGGAACAAAGCTGGACGGAGAATGACTGTGACGAAATGACGGAATTAGACTTCAGAAGATGGATAATGAGAAACTTTTGTGAGCTAAAAGATCATGTATTAAATCAATGCAAAGAAACTAAGAACCTTGAAAAAAGATTTGAAAAAAGATTCGAGGAAATGATAACAAGAATGGATACCTTAGAGAGGAATATGAATGAATTAAAGGAGCTGAAAAACACAATACGAGAACTTCGCGAAGCAAACGCAAGTTTCAATAGCCGAATTGACCAAGCAGAAGAAAGAATATCTGAAGTCGAAGACCAACTCAATGAAATAAAACGAGAAACCAAGATCAGAGAAAAAAGCGCAAAAAGGAATGAACAAAGTCTCCAAGAAATGTGGGACTATGTGAAAAGACCTAACCTACGTTTGATAGGTGTACCAGAAGGGGACGAAGAGAATGAATCCCAGCTGGAAAATACTCTTCAGGACATCATCCAGGAAAATTTCCCCCACCTAGCAAGACAAGCCAACACTCAATTGCAGGAAATACAGAGAACACCACAAAGATATTCCGCAAGAAGAGCAACCCCAAGGCACATAATCGTCAGATTCAACAGGGTTGAAATAAAGGAGAGAATACTAAGGGCAGCCAGAGAGAAAGGTCGGGTCACCCACAAAGGGAAGCCCATCAGACTCACAGCAGATCTCTCGGCAGAAACACTACAAGCCAGAAGAGAGTGGGGGCCAATATTCAACATTCTTAAAGAAAAGAACTTTCAACCCAGAATTTCATATCCAGCCAAACTGAGCTTCAGAAGTGAAGGAAGAATAAAATCCTTTGTGAACAAGCAAGTACTCAGAGATTTTGTCACCACCAGGCCTGCTTTACAAGAGCTCCTAAAAGAGGCACTACACATAGAAAGGATCAATCAGTACCAGCCATTCCAAAATCACACTGAATGCTAAAGAGCTTCAACATAATGAAGAATCTACAACAACTAACAGGCAAAACAGCCACTTAGCATCAAAATGGCAGTATCAAATTCACACATAACAATATTAACCCTAAATGTAAATGGACTAAATGCACCAATCAAAAGACACAGACTGGCAAATTGGATAAAAATCCAAAACCCATCAGTGTGCTGTATCCAGGAAACCCATCTCACATGCAAGGATACACAAAGGCTCAAAATAAAGGGATGGAGGAAGATTTACCAAGCTAATGAAAAGCAAAAAAAAGCGGGAGTTGCAATTCTCATCTCTGATAAAATAGACTTTAAAGCAACAAAGATCAAAAGAGACAAAGAAGGCCATTACATAATGCTAAAAGGATCGATACAACAAGAAGAGCTAACGATCCTAAACATATATGGATCCAACACAGGAGCACCCAGATACATAAGGCAAGTTCTTAATGACTTACAGAAGGACTTAGACTCCCACACAATAATAGTGGGAGACTTTAACACTCCACTGTCAATACTAGACAGATCAACCAGACAGAAAATCAACAAGGATACCCAGGGCGTGAACTCAGACCTGGAGCAAGCAAACCTGGTGGACATTTACAGAACTCTCCACCCCAAATCCACAGAATACACATTCTTCTCAGCACCACATCACACCTACTCTAAAATTGACCACATAATTGGAAGTAAAGCACTGCTCAACAAATGCAAAACAACTGAAATCATAACAAACAGCCTCTCAGACCATAGTGCAATCAAGTTAGAACTCAGAATTCAGAAACCGACCCAGAACCGCACAGCTTCATGGAAACTGAACAACTGGCTCTTGAATGTTGACTGGGTAAACAACAAAATGAAGGCAGAAATAAAGAAGTTCTTCGAAACCAATGAGAACGAAGACACAACGTGCCAGAACCTCTGGGACACATTTAAAGCAGTCTCTAGAGGAAAGTATATAGCAATAAGTGCCCATATGAGGAGAATGGAGAGATCCAAAATTGACACCCTATCGTCAAAATTGAAAGAGCTAGAGGAGCAAGATCAAAAAAACTCAAAACCCAGCAGAAGACAAGAAGTTACTAAGATCAGAGCTGAGCTGAAGGAGATTGAGACACGAAAAACCTTCAAAAAATCAATAAATCCAAGAGCTGGTTTTTTGAAAAGATCAACAAAATAGACAGACCACTAGCCAGATTGATTAAAAAGAAAAGAGAGAACAACCAAATAGATGCAATAAAAAATGATAAAGGGGAAATCACCACAGATTCCACAGAAATTCAAACCATCATCAGAGAATATTACAAACAACTCTATGCACATAAACTAGTAAACCTGGAAGAAATGGATAAATTCCTGGACTCCTGTGTCCTCCCAATCCTAAACCAGGAGGAAGCTGAAACTATGAATAGACCAATAACAAGGTCTGAAGTCGAGGCAGCAATTAAGAGCCTACCTCACAAAAAAAGCCCAGGTCCAGATGGGTTCACAGCCAAATTCTACCAGACACACAAGGAGGAGCTGGTACCATTCCTTCTAAAACTATTTCAAACAATCCAAAAAGAGGGAATCCTTCCCAAATCATTTTATGAGACCAACATCATCCTGATACCAAAACCCGGCAGAGACCCAACGAGAAAAGAAAACTTCAGGCCAATATCCATGATGAACATAGATGCAAAAATCTTCAATAAAATATTGGCAAGCCGATTGCAACAGCAAATCAAAAAACTTATTCATCATGATCAAGTAGGATTCATCCCGGGGATGCAAGGCAGGTTCAACATACGCAAGTCTATAAACGTAATTCACCACATAAACAGAACCAAAAACAAAAACCACATGATTATCTCAATTGACGCAGAGAAGGCATTTGACAAAATTCAACAGCCCTTTATGCTAAAAACCCTCAATAAACTCGGTATCGATGGAACGTATCTCAAAGTAATAAAAGCTATTTATGACAAACCAACAGCCAATATCATACTGAATGGGCAAAAACTGGAAGCATTCCCTTTGAAATCTGGTACTAGACAAGGATGCCCTCTCTCACCACTCCTATTCAATATAGTACTGGAAGTTCTAGCCAGAGCAATCAGGCAAGAAAAAGAAATAAAGGGTATTCAAATAGGAAAGGTGGAAGCCAAATTGTCTCTATTTGCAGACGACATGAAAGTATACCTAGAAGACCCCATCGCCTCAGCCCAAAAACTCCTGAAACTGATAAACAACTTCAGCAAAGTCTCAGGATATAAAATCAATGTGCAAAAATCACAAGCATTCGTCTACACCAATAACAGACTTAAAGAAAGCCAAATCAAGAGCGAACTGCCATTCGCAATTGCTACAAAAAGAATAAAATACCTTGGAATACAACTCACAAGGAACGTAAGGGACCTCTTCAAGGAGAACTACAAACCACTGCTCAACAAAATCAGAGAGGACACAAACAGATGGAGAAACATTCCATGTTCATGGTCAGGAAGAATTAATATCGTGAAAATGGCTATACTGCCCAAAGTAATTTACAGAATCAACGCTATCCCCATCAAGCTACCATTGACTTTCTTCACAGAACTGGAAAAAACCACCATGAACTTCATATGGAACCAAAAGAGAGCCCGCATAGCCAAGTCAATTCTAAGCAAAAAGAACACAGCGGGGGGCATCACACTACCGGATTTCAAACTATACTACAAGGCTACAGTAATCAAAACAGCATGGTACTGGTACCAAAACAGAGATATAGACCAATGGAACAAAACAGAGGCACCGGAGGCAACACAACATACATACAACTATACAATCTTTGATAAACCTGACAAAAACAAGCAATGGGGCAAGGATTCCATGTTTAACAAATGGTGTTGGGAAAACTGGCTAGCCATGTGCAGAAAGCAGAAACTGGAACCCTTCCTGACACCTTACACTAAAATTAACTCCAGATGGATTAAAGACTTAAACATAAGACCTGGCACCATAAAAACCCTAGAAGGAAATCTAGGCAAAACTCTCCAGGACATAGGAGTAGGCAAGAATTTCATGAACAAAACACCAAGAGCATTGGCAACAAAAGCCAAAATAGACAAATGGGACCTAATTAAACTCCACAGCTTCTGCACGGCAAAAGAAACAGTCACTAGAGTGGATCGGCAACCAACAGAATGGGAAAAAATTTTCGCAGTCTACCCATCTGACAAAGGGCTGATATCCAGAATTTACAAACAACTCAAGCAGATTTACAGGAAAAAAACAAACAAGCCCATTCAAAAGTGGGCAAAGGATATGAACACATACTTTACGAAAGAAGACATATATGAGGCCAACAATCATATGAAAAAATGCTCATCGTCACTGGTCATCAGAGAGATGCAAATCAAAACCACATTGAGATACCATCTCACGCCAGTTAGAATGGCGATCATTAAAAAATCTGGAGACAACAGATGCTGGAGAGGATGTGGAGAAAAAGGAACACTTTTACACTGTTGGTGGGAGTGTAAATTAGTCCAACCATTGTAGAAGACAGTGTGGCGATTCCTCAAGGCCTTAGAAATAGAAATTCCATTTGACCCAGCAATCCCATTACTGGGTATATATCCAAAAGACTATAAATCGTTCTACTATAAGGACACATGTACACGAATGTTCATTGCAGCACTGTTTACAATAGCAAAGACCTGGAATCAACCCAAATGCCCATTGATAATAGACTGGATTGGAAAAATGTGGCACATATACACCATGGAATATTATGCAGCAATCAGAAATGATGAGTTCGTGTCGTTTGTAGGGACATGGATGAATCTGGAAAACATCATCCTCAGCAAACTGACACAAGAACAGAAAATGAAACACCGCATATTCTCACTCATAGGTGGGTGATGAAAAATGAGAACACATGGACACAGAAAGGGGAGTACTAAACACTGGGGTCTATTGGGGGGAAAAGGGGAGGGCCAGTGGGAGGGGGAGGAGGGGAGGGATAGCCTGGGGAGAAATGCCAAATGTGGGTGAAGGGGAGAAGAAAAGCAAAGCACACTGCCATGTGTGTACCTACGCAACTGTCTTGCATGCTCTGCTCATGTACCCCAAAACCTAAAATCCAATAAAAAATTAAAAAAAAAAAAAAAAGTATTTAATGTAGTATTTATTAACAAAGCAATGGAGAGGGATGACATTCACTATTTACAGTTTATTTCAGAAATCAATGATTTAAACTTAATTCATAATTTTTGGCAACATACCTTCATCTACTTCTGCAGTTATGTTTTCTTGCACACCTGCTGTATTTGAAAAAGTCAAATATTATTAATAATGTTTAAGTTAAACAAGAGACATTCTCATGTAGCCCCACTGTAAGTCAAGGAGTATCTCTACTCTGGGTTGATCATCCCTAACCTGAAAATCTGAAATCCAAAATCCTCTACAATCTGAAACTTTTTGAGCACAGGCATGATATCACACAATTAGAAAGGTCCACACCTGACCTCATGTGACAGGCTGTGGTGAAAACACACTTAAAACTTTGTTACATGCAAAATATTTTTGTAAAACATTGTACAGGCTGGGTGTGATGGCTCATGCCTATAATCTCAGCACTTTGGGAGGCCATGGCAGGTGGATCACCTCAAGTCAGGAGTTTGAGACCAGCCTGGCCAACATGGTGAAACTGTCTCTACCAAAAATACAAAAGTTAGCCTGGTGTGGCAGTGCATACCTATAGTCCCAGCTACTTGGGAGGCTGAGGCAAGAGAATTGCTTGAACCTGGGAGGCGGAGGTTGCAGTGAGCTGAGAACACACCACTGCACTCCAGACTGGGCAACAAAGCAAGACTCTGTGCCCCACTGCACCCACTCCTCTCCTGCAAACAAAAAAAAGAAAATGAAAGAAAAAGAAAAATATTGTATAGAATTATCTTCAGGCTGTGTGCATAAGGTGTATATGAAACATAAACGTATTGCATGTTTACACGTGGTTCCATCCCCAAGGTATTTAATTAGGTGTATACAAAAATTCCCAAATCTGGAAAAAATCCACTTTTGGTCTTCCCAATAATTTTACACAAGGGATATTCAACCTACCCACTAGAAAAATAAAATTCCTTTTCAATGTGACAGAAATCAAGAGATTGTCTATTGAATTTCAACTTACCAGAATTTTCTGAAGCTGCTCAATTTTGTCCGCTCGCCCTTTCATTCTAATTTTTAACATGGCAGTTTCTAATTTAAGCCTAATATACATACATTTTAAAATAATTATTTCCAGACATATTTTTTTAAAAATCATATAAATTCTGAAAAAATATCTGAAGAAACAATTACATGAATTCTGAGACATTTGAAAATTAGAAAATTGAGCAACTGCCATTTTTCTACCTTTGTTTTGTGGATGATGTGTAAAATTAATATAGAAAAATTATGCATTTCAAAATAGCTTAGAGCTGAAATTTTTTCTTGGCTTCACATAGACATACTTATCTTAACTGATATAATTCTCACACTACACTACTCATTTGCTTTATAAATACTCAAGATATTTTGTGTGCTGCTTTAAATCGTACTTTTGCACGTTGTCTGGAATCTCCTCATCATATCTTAGAGTCTCTGTGAGTTGATCCTGGGTTTCTTGCAACTAAAACAAAGAATTGAAAACAACCTTCAGGTGTGGAAATTAAATGCCCATCAATAGGTGAATGAATAAACAAAATGTGGTGTATATAAAATACTGTTTTTAAACTATCACAATCTATTTTATTAAAAAATGATAATAATCTAGGACAAATCAACCTATTACCTGTTTTTTAACTAAATTTTATTGGAATGCAGCCACACTCCTGCAATCTGCATATTGTTTATGGCTACATTTGTGCTGTAACTGCAGTGTTGAGTTGTTCCAACAGGGATCTTATGGCTCACAAAGTCTACAATAATACTACCTGGTCCTTTACAGAAAAATTTACTGACCTATGCTGTAGGATTAAAATAGAATATTTTTCTTGCTTTTAATTTATATTTTATCAGATACTCAAACTTATAAAATTGGTTAAATGGGGAAAGAGAAAATTACTTTATGGTAAGCATTTATATTTTTGAATTCCAAACACCACTATTACATCAACTATAATTGTGTTTCTTTTTTGTGTGTATGCATTTAATTTTGTTGTAGCAAGGCAACTTATACATTTTTAATATTTAAAACTAAGCATCATCGTTCCTCTCCAGGCAAACCACAAGAAAATTTGAAAATGAATGGGAACATAATTAAAATAGACAAGATCAATTTCAAATAAGATCCTACAGGTTCTGTTGATTCTCCCACTGAGTGGCAGGGCTCACATCATCATTAGGAGAGAATTCATTTGCAAGTGTCATCTTAAACTGCAGGGATGTCCATTAAACATGCCAAAGGAGAAGCCATGTTGTCAAAATGCCCACCTGACCCACCCAAACATCTCAAACCTACCCTTTGCTCACCTTCTATAACTTCATTTTTAAAGTTTTTTTTTTTAATCTAGAGAAAGCAGACAGACACATGTTGGCAAATGCTAACTGTTCGTAGTCATATGACTATGACTATAGCCCAATATAAAGTCAGAGCAAGGATTTTCATCAAAACAAAAATTTATTCTGTAGAATGGCCTTTCTGTACAAGTTAACCTGAAACCCATGAAATAAGTAAGCACAAGTTCTTTATTCACACAGAATAGTAGAGATTAAAGAAAGAAAAATTTCTGAAACATTCCATTAGAAATCATCCTCTGAATTAATCTGACTTGTATCCCCATGGCAATACAAAAATCACTAAAAATATACTGTAAGCAGAAAAAAAAAATCTAGTCTTCTATGAGAAATTATGTGTAATTCTCAGCTTTCTTAACTGGAAATATTATAGGAAAAATATTTATTATAAAACATAGCAGAGATTGAGAAATGAGTGCATTATAAAGATAATAAAATTAATTATAATTAAAATATGAAATAAAGCTGTCCACTAAAACTAGTATCCTACAACAGCTGATATTAACCAGCTACAGAGTAACTGTTGACAGGCTAAGTTTCATACATACCTGACTTCTCATCAGTTCTAGTTTCTTTTTTGTATCTCATGTCTCACCTTCTAACATATTTTGACGTTGTGATGAAATCTCTAGCATACCTTCTGCCAGTGACTGTTTGTTCAGGACATCACCAAGCTCTCGTTTGAGTTTTCTCACAACTACCTGAGAAGATGTTATTTTTGTTACAGATTTTACATATCACCGTATTATTAAATTGTGTTAGTAATGTTTCACTCTAATGTATACACTTAGAAAAGTATCACCACACACACAGATTCTTTTCTTTTTCCTCATGTGTATACATTCCTGTTTATTAATGAATCCAGTTAAGGATAAAGAAGGTGTTATCTTCGTGCCAAACTGCTGCTGTGTTACTCATACAACAGATTCAGTCCACTGATGAATATGCAATGCTTAAAAACCTTCTCAAAAAGAAACAGGTATGTGGGTGGGACTGGTGGTAGTGAATTTTACACTGAGCAATGTTTTCTCTCTTTTTTATAAGAAGAAGCTCAAATTAACCACAGAGTTCCTCACATATTCAGTCACCTGCTCGTATCCTTCCAATAGATTTCCATCTCAGAAGAAAAGTAACATTCCAATGGCCTTCAATGCTCTAGGTAACCTGGTTTCTACCTCCCTCCCTGACCTCGCCTGCTATGTCTCTCTTCCCTACTCCCTCCATTCCTACCACCCCTCATTAATCTGAAAATGGGGCTCCAATGTGAAATTAATAAAATCACAGTACTAAGCTTATCTTTGTACTGGACAACGTTATATCCAAATGAGAGTCATTGAGCCTTGAAATAAAAATTGTGACATTTTTCATTAAAAAATTGAAAGTAAGTTATAAATGCTAACGGGAAGATTAAATCAAATCTAGTTTGGTAACATTTTCCCCATATTATAATGTAAGAAAAATTAGATGTCTTTGAGGAATGGAAAGGTCACATCAATGTATAATTTAAGATTGAATTATTTTCAGGTTTAAGTCAAATGGACATGAATAAAAATAAAATTGGCCAGGCACGGTGGCTCATGCCTGTAATCCCAGCACTTTGGGAGGCCTAGGTGGGTGGATCACTTGAGGTCAGGAGTTCAAGACCAGCCTCACCAACACGGTGAAACCCGGTCTCTACTAATCTCTACTAAAAATACAAAAATTAGCCAGGTGTGGTGGCAGGTGCCTATAATCCCAGCTACTCGGGAGGCTGAGGCAGGAGAATCACTTGAACCTAGAAGACAGAGTTTGCAGTGAACCAAGATCATGCCATTGTACTCCATTCTGGGCAACAGAGTGATATTATAAATAGTATTATATTATTTATAAATTAATAAACAAATAAAATTATACCAACTAAAATACATTAAAAGCTATAGAATAAAAATAATTTTAAAATAGGGACTACACTTTTGTTCATCTGGGAAATCTGGAATTAATGGTCAAAGTAATCCAGTTAATTGAATCAATTTCAAAATAACACTTTAGGTATGAATATTTCTTTATATCTGTTTTATCATAATCCTAAAATGTGACAACATGCAGACATTAAAATTATTTCAGCAGTGTAAGACTACATTATAAATATTAGTCTATATTGATATTTTGTAACTGAAATGCTTAAAATTTCCTGAATGTCACATTGCCTTTACTCAAAAGAAAGCATCTCTTACCTCTAACTTTTATTTGCTGGAAACAAGTTACGTTTTTTAAGGTGACAGAGCAGATCTGTTAATCATGTATATATTTTCATATTCAACTAGATTCAATGTTTAGCCATAACCAAATATTACTTTAAATTTTACTTCAGGAAGTTTGAAAAATACTTATTTTTCTTGATACTTACTTGTCCTTCTTCTTTCTCTTTTTCATACTGGCATTGCCTTTCTTTTAAAAGAGTATATTCCTCTATCAACCCCTTGTTGTTCTCTTCTAGCAGAATACAGTGCTTTCTACACTCAGCTTGAAGTTTCTCTACAGTATCTTCACATTTGGCTTGGATATCAATTATTGTTTTTTCCTGATTGTCAGCTTTCTTGTGAGCATCATTAAGTTGCTGTTGATGCAATGAATTTTGGCTTTGTATTTGAAATAGTCCGTCCTGTACAGATTGCTGCTTTCTCACATATTTTTCCACTATATGTTGGTCATTTTGGTACATGTGTTCAAAGGCCTTCATTCGACACTGTGCTTGGCTTATGACTCCTTGCATGTGTTCTATAGCCAACGTCTTTTCCTTGAGAGCCTCTCTTTCGCAATGGAGCTCAGTTTCCAGGCCTCTGGATTTACTCTCAGCTTTAGAAAGTTGCTGAGAAAGAATCTGAATGTGAGAATTCATATTTTCTTGTAAATGACACCACTGATTTACTGTGTTCTGGAAAGCAAGCTGTAGGTCTCTTTTTGATGACTGACTTTGATCACGATCACATAGAGCAGCAGCCAGTCTACGACTGTATAATTCCAATTCTGTTTCCAGTCTTTGCTTTCTTTGTTTTTCCTTCTCTAGCTCAGAATTGAGCACTGTATTCTTATCCAATGTCAGACCATTAAGCTCTTCACTATACCAGTTTATTGTTTTTGTTAATGTTTCCTCATTCAGCTTTAGAGTCTTTTCAAGGTCTTCATTCTTTTTCTTTATAATTTCAATATCCTTGAAATACATATTTTCAATTTCCTGGTTCTGATGTTTTATTGTGTCTATTTCTAGCCTGAGTCTGGCAATTTCAACCCGCATCAAGTGATTTTTCTGCCACAGGTCTCTTTCTTTTTCATGGGTAAAAGAACTCTAAATAAAACAAAGAAAACTTTCAACTAGTATCCAATAAAATGACACATTATGATTTCTTCTGAAACTAAGTAATAACGTGTACATTTATACAAGGAAAGAATTGCCATCTGGAGATCCAACTGGAAAAGAGAAGTTGAATAAAAACTTCAAACATTTTAGAGCATAAATTCTCAAAAGTTCAAAAATGTATTTGAAGACAATTAGTTTTAAAAAAGACTTTTACTGAATTTCAACAAACCCAAAGGCATAAATGATTAATAACTATGAGTACATTTAGAAATTGGGTTTACACACTAACGTCTAACCTATACTTTTCCCTATAGTGTAAGAGCCTTAGCTCTGCAGATATTTGGACAGATGAAATTTTCCAAATTCCTTAAGTTTCTTTTTCCTTCAAATATTTTATAGATAATTCTATTTTTCTTACATTTTTAGAGTCAGTTTTAAGAATGACACGTATTGATAAATGATAAATCTAGGCATTGTACCAAGCACTTTTATATGCATACATCAATTAAGTCATTTAGTTATCACAATTCTGAATGGAAAGTTTAAAAATATAAGCAAGCTGCTAGACTTTCCCCAGGTCTTCTGACTCCTAGTGCTCCTCCACCAGATCATGGTTACTTCCATGGAGTAGATATGCAAATACAATAAAAACCTTTTCTTTTAAAACACCAAAAGTAAAGAAGATAACATTTATAAAGCTCTTCTTAGGACATCATAAGATTATGTACTATTGTGAGAACTTTTATTTCATTTTCACAAGGTTTGAAACCATAATTAATGTGAAATAGAAAAACTACATTAAACTATGTCACTAGGAACAAATTACTTATCTATAAAATATCACTAAGTATATGTCATGGAATGTCATTGTTTTCCAAAGGTCTTTAAACTGAAACAAAATACTACTTTGATGCCAAGATTTATAATAAATAATTGTAACTGTAAGTGTCATTCATTTTTAAGATGAAATAAAATTTGTGGCTTTAGAACTAAATAATATATATTGTCAAAGGGATATTATATTAACAAACTAAAATTAGAAATATAAAACTTTACCAAATGTTAATGTACCTGATTTAAATTATTTCTTACAGTCTTCAATTCTATATTCAATGATTTGTGAGTCAGCTTAAGTAGGTTTTTCACTCTGGCTTGTGTCCAATATTGCTCTTCCATTATTTTGAACTTTTCTATACCTTTTTCATACTTTTCAGGCTTTCTTCTTTTTTCTTCTTGTTGTTGTAAGATTAATCTGTAGTTAAATATACTTATCTTAAAATCCTTTAAAAAAAAAGCACTCATATGCTGGTTTATTTTACTAATAAAGTGCCCATGCTCTTGAATATTTTTTCTTTCTAGTTTTCATGTTAAATTCTCACTTCAATGTCTTCCAAATGACATATATAAATTGAAAAGTAGTGGGGAATAAACATTCTACTAATTGATCAGCTTCTGTTACTAATAATTCTAGTAAATATTATTGAAAAGGACATTGAAAATTATTAGGTAAAGTTGCAAGTTAAAAATTACCTTTTCTTCACACATTAATAATCCCTCCTCAGTCAGGATGAATCATTTAGAGTTAACTAACTAAAAAGAAGTTATTTTTTATAAATAAGTTGATACCTTCAGTAGAAATAAATTTTCATATTCATGAAATACTGCAGGTATCACTAAACATGATTTACATTGTAAGATAGCACCTTCACGTGTCTTCTTGCAATATTCATCTGCAGATGACTATCATCTAAGCCTAGGCTAAGGAATCTAAGATGTTACCCCATACTTTTTATGTTTCTTGTTTTAATAACACTTTTAACTTATCCTGAAAGTATCGATAACTTATCGATATATTAAATAATGAGATTTCCACAGAGTAGAAATCTATAAAATCTTTTAAACAATGATTTAAAGGAATATGCAATTAATTATTAGAGAAGTATTCACAATTAAGAGCTTGTGATATTATATCCAAGAATTTCACATTCCACAATTTTAAGAAGTTTTCTTCTCTATTAAACCCTAGAAGGTAAGTCAACTATTACAAAAATTATCCTACATATCTTTAGTATAAACAGTTCAAATACTTCTTTAAAACTAGAATGTTTTACCTTAAAATATGGAGCTCTTGTTTCCAATCAGGTTTCTGATGCTCTATCTGTGATTTGGTTTTGTCTATTTCAGACAGTTCCTTTCGTAGTTTACTAATCTCATTTTTCATTTTTTGAAATTTCACAGTAAGTTGTTCACAGTAATGTATTTTATGTTCTATTAATCTTTCATGTGCAGATATTGCATTCTTGATTTTCAATAGGCTAACAAAATCTGTAACCAAGGGAAAATAAAATAGAGATAAAATACATGAGTAGGGTTTTAGATATAAAGTACTGTGGATATCAACGTGGCACTCATTCATACACTGAATGAGTATGCATATATTGACTGCCTGCAGTGTGGAAAATATATAGAAAGATCTTCAGATAAAACAGACAACACGTCTGACCTTGTTTAGCTTAAAGCATAGTGAAGAACAAAGACAAAGGTGACAAATATAAATTCAGATAGCTGCTTTAAGAATACATAGTTTTATAATCACATAAGAGAATTTGACCTATAATTGGCCAAGGGAAGATTTCCCTGAGGAAGAGAAGGCTACACTGAGAAATGAAAAATGAGAAGGAAGCAGTTGAGCAAAGGAGAAAGCAGAGCACTCTGGCTAGTCTGATGCATGTTCTGGAGCTCTGCTGCAATCTGCTTCCAGCCAAGAGGGAGCAACGGGTGCTGATTTTCTTTCTTACCTGAAGCCAAAAACAACCAGGCAAAATACATGAAACAATGCCTTTCAACACAATGGACTTCTGTAACAAGGATGGTAATCACTGAAAGACAAGAAACAAATGTAGGCCTTACAAAAGTCCCAGCTTTTTGTGTGGACAGAGCTCCAAGGCCATGACAAAGGGAGAAAATCTGACAGATTCCCTGAGCTGGGGTGGTGACGCTAAGAGTCTGGTAAAATGAAAGCAGAGAGAAATCACAGGACAGAACACTTGAGAGGAGAAAGCAGCGGCGGAAAGAAACCCTGGACATCTGCAGAGGTCCCCTCTAAAGTATTTAATAGAATAATGAAAAAAATGCATGTGTGCTAGGAAACTTCCTAAGACCAAGGCAGCAGGGTAAACAATAGAACAAGATTAGGAGAAACAATGTCTGCTGTTCTCGAAGTGCCCAGAAGAGGGTCCATTCCCAGGAGCCAGGCCCAAAAACTCATACTTCACAGGACAATAAATAATCAGAAAACTCTTGCCTCAGGAGTGGGAAATTACCCAAAATCTAAAAGAAGAACCAAAAGGGTTCTGTTTGTAAGGAAATGACTGTACCCCCTAAAAAGCTTGAGACAATAAGTAGAGGCATGTAAGATACTTCTTTAAAACTCAAACCATACTTGCAGAAATGCCAATTGCAATGTCAGAGGTAAAAACTACAGAGGATGAAAATAAACACAGATTAAACATCACAATCATAAATTTGACATGATGAACTATGAGAAACCTTCAAGCAACTATATATATAAGTCCCCAAATAGGAAGCAAAACAGAAAAGAAAATTGAAAAAAAAATGGCCAAAAACATTCTAAACTTGGCAAAATCCATAATCCCACAGATCCAGGAAGGAACTGTCTGGGAAAAAAAATAAAAGGGTACCATTGCCATTTTCTTATGCCATCTATAATGTGGTATAACATTACTTGAAGGCAGACTGTGATAGGTTAAAATTATATACTATAAATCCAAAATAAGCCAATAAGATAGAAAAGAGTTATATATAATTAACCAAAAAAGAAATGTAAAATTAAGCCATAGAAAATAGCTATTTTCTATAAAAAGCAGAAAAAGAAGAAAAGAGGAACAAATAATAGCGAGACTAACAGCAATCGAACAGCATAATGACAGAAAAACATAATTATATTGATAATCACAATATAAATGAAACTGGTTTACAAGCCTCAATTAAAAAGCAGACTGACAGACTCAATAAGAAAGCTACATGCTGTCTATACAAAATGCACTTTAATTGTAAAGACATAAATTGGCTACAAGAATAGAAAAAAATACATGCTAACACTTGTCAGAAGACTACTGAGAAAAAATTGTTGTATTAATATCAAAGTCTATTTTATAGCAAAAACATTTCCGGCAATAAATAAGGTCATGTCATAATGATAAAAGTTCCATTTCATCAAGAAGACATAATAATCCTAAATGTTTATGCCCTAATGTCATAATAAATTCAAAATGCAGGAGGCCAAAGTGGATAGAACTACGAAAAGAAATAGCCAATTTCTAAGTAATCTGAGGTTTCGATATCTTTTACTCAAGAAGTGATAGAACAAGGACACAGAAAATTAGGAAGAATAGAGCAGACTTACCACCATGCTTTTCAAGTACCTATGGAACACTTACCAAAATAGACAATATTTTAGGCCATATAATGAATCTCATTAAAAAGATTTCAGTAGAAGAAGGCTGAATAGGAACAGCTCTGGATTGCAGTTCCCAGTGAAAACACAGAGGGTGAGTGATCACTGCATTTCCAAATGAATTTGTAATATCCACAGACCTGGAGATTCCCGGGCAGAAAAGCGTCACGAGTCTCTAGCGCAGTTGTTTCAGGTGGTGCAGTGGGTTTCTGCACAAAAACTCAGAGAAATCCGGGTGCTATTTCAACTGGCGACTGGAATGCCTGAGAGACAGAGTTACCCGTTCAACTGAAAAAAAGGGAGCTGAAACAGGGAGCCAGTTGATCTGGCTCAGCTGGTCCCATGCCCACAAAGACCAGCAATCTGAAACACTCTGGATTGAGTGTTTCACAGCAAGCACAGCTGGAATGGGAGGAAGGGCGTCCACCACTACCCAGGCAGTCAACCATTACAGAGAAAATCCTCCATTACCAAGAATTAAATCCATTAAATCCTCCATTACAGAGACAGTCTTCCAACTGAGGCAGACCACCATTACTGAGGCAGTTTTAACTATACCCCTCTAAAAAAACTGCAAGGAAGGTCACACAGCAGCTGGGCAGAGCCATGGCAGCTCAGCAACGCTGATGCTGGCAGACTGTGACTAGGCTACATCCTCGCTGGGCAGGGATCTCTGAAAAAAGGCAGCAGAATGTCAGGAACTTATAAATAAAGGTCCACCTTCCCGAGACAGAGCACCTGGGAAAAAAAGGTGGTTATGAGTTCTGCTGCAGCAGACTTAAACGTACCTGCCCAGCAACTCTGAACAGAACAACAGAGCTCACAGCTCAGCACTTGAGCTCCTATAAAGGATAGACTGTCTCCTCAAGCAGCTCCCTGTCCCCCGTATAACCAAAGAGACACCTCACAAAGGAGAGCTCAGGCTGATATCTGGCGGGTATCCTTCTGGGACAAAGATAAAAGAAGAATAAACTAGCAGCAACCTGCACTGTTCTGAAGGCACTGCAGGTTACCCCAAGCAAGCAGGGTCTGGAGTGGACCTCCAACAGTCACACCGCAGGGGAGCCTGACTGTTAGAAGGAAGACTAAGAAACAGAAAGAAACAACTTCATCAGCAACAAAAAAGGACATCCACTCAGAGACTCCATCTGAAAGTCACCAACCACAAAGACCACAGGTAGATAAATGCACAAAGATAGGGAAGAAACCAGCAAAAAAAAGATGATAATACCCCAAACAAGAATGCCTCTCCTCCTCCAAGAGATCGAAACTTCTCACCATCAAGGGAACAAGGCTAGTTGGAGAATGAGTCTGATGAATTGATGGAAACAGGCTTCAGAAGGTGGGTATTAACAAACATCTCTGAGCTAAAAAGTCATGTTCTAACTCAAACAAAGAAACTAAGAACCTTGAAAAAAGGTTTGAAGAAATGCTAACGAGAATAAACAGCTTAGAGAAGAATATAAACAACTTGATGGAGCTGAAAACACAGCATGAGAACTTCACAAAGCATATACAAGTTTTAATAGTTGAATCGACCAAGCAGAAGAAAGGATATCAGAGATTGAAGATCAACCCAATGAAATAAAACAAGAAGGGAAGATTAGAGAAAAAAGTAAAAAGAAATGAACAAAGCCTCCAAGAAATATGGCATTATGTAAAAAAAAAAACCCTAATCTACGTTTGATAGGTGTACCTGAATATGATGGAGAGAATGAATCCAAGTTGGAAAACACTCTTCAGGATATTATCCAGGAGAACTTCCACAACCTAGCAAGGCAGGCCAACATTCAAGTCCAGGAAATACAAAGAACACCAAAAAGATATTCCTCAAGAAGAGCAACCCCAAGGCACATAATCATCAGATTCAAAATGAAGTAAAAAATGCTAAGCGCAGCCAGAAATAAAGGTTGCGTTACACACAAAGGGAAGCTCATTAGACTCACAGCGAAGCTCTCCAAAGAAACCCTACAAGCCAGAAGAGAGTGGGAGCCAATATTCAACATCCTTAAAGAAAAGAACATTCAACCTAGAATTTCATATCAGCCAAACAAAGCTTCATAAGCAAAGGAGAAAGAAAATCCTTTATGAACAAGCAATTGCTCAGAGATTTCATCACCACCAGGCCTGCTTTACAAGAGCTCCTGAAAGAAGCACTAAACATAGAAAGCAACAACCAGTACCAGCCACTCCAAAAACATACCAAATGGTAAGGAGCATCGACACTATGAAGAAACTGTATCAACGAATGGACAAAACAACCAGCTAGCAACAAAATGGCAGGATCAAATTCAAACATACCAATATTAACCTTAAATGTAAATGGCTAAATGCCCCAATCAAAAGACAGACTGGCAAAGTGGACAAAAGGCAAAACCTATCAGTGTGCTGTATACAGGAAACCCATCTCACATGCAAGGATACACATAGGCTCAAAATAAAGGGATGGTGGAAGATCTACTGAGCAAATGAAGAGCAAAAAAAAAGTAGGCGTTGCAATCCTAGTCTCTGATAAAATATACTTCAAACCAGCAAAGATAAAAAAACACAAAGAAGGGCATTACATAATGGCAAAAAGATCAATGCAACAAGAATAGCTAACGATTCTAAATGTATAAGCGCCCAATACAGGAGCACTCAGATACATAAAGCAAGTTCTTATTTTTATTTATTTATTTATTTATTTATTTATTTATTTATTTATTTTTTGAGACGGAGTTTCGCTCTTGTTACCCAGGCTGGAGTGCAATGGCGCGGACTCACCGCAACCTCCGCCTCCTGGGTTTAGGCAATTCTCCTCCCCCAGCCTCCTGAGTAGCTGGGATTACAGGCACGCGCCACCATGCCCAGCTAATTTTTTGTATTTTTAGTAGAGACGGGGTTTCACCATGTTGACCATGATGGTCTCGATCTCTTGCCCTCGTGATCCACCCGCCTCGGCCTCCCAAAGTGCTGGGATTAACGGCGTGAGCCACCGCGCCCGGCCCTGTCCTTTCTTGAAAGCCCTAACGGGCGAAAACGAAGCCCTTCTCTGGCTGCCTGCCCTCCGGGAGAAGCCGCGCCCCCTCAGGCTACAGGGTTCCGGGAGCCGGCAGACGCCCATTCCCGGCGCGCATCCGGAAGTCCCGGGCTCCGGCCCCGCCTTAGCCAACCCCTCCAGCGCCCCGCCTTGTCCCGCTCCACCGCTCCCCCTCCCCGCCCCACCGCGCTTGCGTAGGGCGCCCGTCGGCGCCCGGCGCCCGTCGCTGTTGGTCAGGCGCGGTGCGCCGGGGCGGCTGTTGTCATCGGTCTGGTGCGGTGCGCGGCTTCCCTGGCTGCTGGGGAGCCGGCGGCGTACGCGGCGAGGGAGCAGGGACAGGGAGGCGCCTTCTGGCTCGGGCTGGGGCCGGCGAGAACGCCAACCAGCGACGGCGGAAACCGCGGGCCTATGGACGGCGGCATCAGCGGCTAGCAGGTAAGGTCCGCGCGGGGCGAGCGTGGATGGTGCACGCCCGTGAAGGGGTGCGGTGGCCTGGCCGGGGGCGCAGCTGAGCGCGGGCCGCGGCGGGGACCCGGGCGGGGCGGGCCTGGGCCTCGGGGCGGGCATGCGCTCCTTGTTCGCCGGCCGGTACTCCTCCGTCACCCCATCTCCGCTGCCCTGCGCCAACATGGCCGCCACCGTCCTGTCCCCAGTTTCTGGCCGCCGCCGGCCCCTTAGCGCGCGCTGGGTTTGAAGCAGAGCTGGGAGGCCCGCGCCAGAATGCGGGCGAGGAGGGGAGAGTTGCATAATCCCGGCGCGTGGGGAGGGGCGGGTTGGGTCGGGTCACCGCAGGGACGCGGGTCTGCCCTCGGGCCACGCTTCCTAGGCCCGGGGGATGGCCGTGGTCCTTGCAAGTTGTGGGTTGCCGGAACGCCCACCGGCCTGTCCTCGCGGCGGTGCAGCCCCCTTCCTGATGGCGCGCGGCGAAACTTGCGTGCTCTACAGGGAGCCACGCACATTTCTTCTCCTTAGTGAGTGACCTCTAGGAATCTATGTGTTGAAAAAAATGTTTTTTGTTTTTTGGTTTTTTTTTTTTT